GTGATCATATAATCTCTTAACGAGTTCATGAATCAAATTTATTAGATTTTGTAAATTCATTAGTTTTACGAAGAACTGTTACATATTGTGGTTTCCTTAAAAACTTGTAGGAAGACACAGGTGGGTCGAATATGCAGAGAAGGATAGGTATAATGCTTCTCAGGTTCCACCTGAATGGCATGGTTGGCTCCATTTCATAACTGATCACACAGGAGATGAGGTAAATTCATTACTTTCCTACTGTGGTGGTGCCATAAGGCCAAGAATCCCAAATTCTTGCTCTTGAAATAATAAATAAATGGATTCTTCGCAGCTTCTCATGCTGAAACCTAGAAGGTATGGTGTTGAACACAAGGAGAACTTGTCTGGAGAAGGTGAACAGTATATCTATCATTCCAAGGGACATGCACTTAATCCGGGTCAGAGAGACTGGACCCGGTACCAGTCATGGCAGTCCAAAGCCTGAGGCTGACCTTTGGAGCATAGTTCAGCTGTGACTGAGCTGCAAGATATCTTGGATATTTCTTCTTTCTTACCTTGTGAGAATAAATGGGTTGTATTCAAATTTAACTGGTGAAATTCAGTTATCTTTATAAAGAGTTCGATCTTGTCTGAGACATCTAAGTAGACAAAATCACCTTGAAATATTTCCAATATTCATCAAAAGGATTTGTTCTTCTTTTATGAGGCAGACCAAATACACAATTATAACAGATCTGAGGCAACTGTTTTCTAAGGATTTGCTCCTTTTTTGTGATTTAGGAAAGGCATTTAAGTAGTTTCTTTTGCCTGCCCTTATAGCAACTTGGAGGAGAGTTACTATTTTCCCTTGTTTGGATTTCCTTTTCTTCTCTTCTTTCCTCATAATCCCTCTATTTGAAAAGTGGGGGAATTTAAAGGGATTATTAATTCCCTTCTCTCCTGTTTCCTCCATTTTAACCAAGCATTATATTAAGGACTTGTGGGATTTTATTGGAATTTTAGAATGTTTTGGGATTAGACTGTCACTAACTTGGTTTTTTAAGATTGTATTTTTCACTTGCAAATTTTGAAGGGTGAAATGAATGATCTAGAGACTCCAACGATAATTGACAAGGGTCAGGAAAATGACATTGAAGGATCTCTACGTAGAGACAAGAGCGAAGATATGATTTGTTTTATTAAGAATTGTTTTGAATAGAAAGTATAATATACTAAAGTAATATATGGTGGGGGACAGTTGTAGTAGGTGACATCAAATTGAAGATATTTTTACTAAAAAACTTTATCTTTTTCCATTTTGGCATGATTATTTGATGCTTTTATATTACTAAATTAAATTCGGGCATTATTGGATGTAATGTGTAACAGCCTCTCCAACATGGTCTTTCCCCCACACTAATTGAATAAACAATATTCTGGTAGGAATTGAATAAACAATATTACTGAAGGAAAATTGAATTTATTTTTATTCGATCCAAGTAGTGTTAATTAATCTTAGTTTTTGAAATTATTTTGAAGAATCTTAAAATAAATTTAAATAAATTGAAAAAAATATAGCCCAAAATTTTAAGTTAATATTTTGTCTAACTTATTTCCAAAAATATTTCAAAATTAAAATTCTTTATAAATATCTTTAATTTGAGATTTTGGATATTATTTATTTATTATCTTCAAAATAAAACATCAAAATCAAACAAAATGAACCCATATTTTCACAAAACATTGCTAGAGCCTAGAGGAGCTATACTCTTCAACCGTAATGAGATGTCATAAAGACTCAAAGTTGATAATTCAGGTAAACTAAGCTTATTTGAATTGAACTCAATTCAAGTTATGCTTAAAAAATATCTTGACATATAAAAATACCTATAGAGTTTAGTTTGACTCTAACCCCTCATATGTTCAAAATAGCTCAAATACCTAAATTGTTGAATATTATATTATATATTTTTATTTTTGTAATTTCAATTTTTATTTAAAAATGTTTTTTCAATTTTTATCTTATTTATAAATAAAAAAATTTGGGTATTTGGGCTTGACTCAAATTTTTTTGGGTTTATTGAAGAGAACTAAATAAGTTTGAAATAAAAAAAAATTTAAACTCTCAAGCTCGATCTTATGAGTTTTTGGACTTATTTGAACTAGTTAGTCAGACTTGGTTTATATTTTTTTGAGTTCATTTGGGCAGCCTGAATAAGCTTGGAATAAAAAAAATTCTAAACTCTCAAGCTTGAACCTATGAGTTTTCAGGCTTATTCGAGCTGGCGAGTCAAGCTTGGCCTAAATTATCTCCTTTATAAAGACCTATATTATATTATCTATTATCTATCATAATGCACATTTAGATAATAAAATTATTTAATTTAAAATATTTTCTGTTAAAAAGTGTAGGTGTTGATAATATGACATTTCAAGAGCATTAAAGAAGTACTGAAATAGTTTAATGAAAAATTATATTTTACACTAGAAAAGCAAATAGCAAACTTGGTTAGAAAGTGCCCACATATGCAGCTGTACAAGTAGTGAAGTAGGTGTAAACGTTTACCATGGAAATGGAAAGTTTGGTAAGAAAAAGACAATTAATATACTATACAAGATATAACATTTATAAAAATGTTTCTTATTTATAAATTAGTAATATATTTTTAACTTTTATATAATACATGGGAATTCACATCTAGTCAATAATTTTGTGGCAAAAATTATTTTTTATTTTAAGTAAAATGAAAATATTTTTAGTTATGATATAAAATATAACAACTATTGTTTATTTTAGTTTAAGTAAAAATATTTGTAATATGTTCACCAAATACAACATTTTGATCCTTGAAATGCTAGATGGAAGGGAGAGGTTTTCAACTTTTATATTTTATTTCAATTAATAGTGAATATTTAATTGATTATAATAGATATGGAAAAAGTTACTATTTTACTCATACATGTCCTTTATATATATATATATATATATAAACATATATTCTAGTCTTATATTTTCTCTTGTATTCTTTTATTTTTTTTCCTTTTTTTTCAGTACCAAACAATGCATTAAGAAATTATATATATAAACATATATTCTAGTCTTATATTTTCTCTTGTATTCTTTTATTTTTTTCCTTTTTTTTCAGTACCAAACAATGCATTAAGAAATTATAATTCACTTCTTAATCTTATTTTTAAGTTTCATGTTTCAAGAGTGCCAAGAAAATTAGAAAAAAAAAAATACCCACTCTGTTATTTAATATGCTTGAAGGAGTGAGAAAGCAATAATTCTTCTCCCTATTCTCTATGGGGAAAGATATTTCAGGAGGACCTGATAAAAAATAATATCAAATATTATCTGAGCTATGCTCGAACTTTTACATTTCAGCACTCAGATACAGTAGTAGTTTCATTCTATTATAAAACATTGGGATGCAGTAAGGCTCAAATTAGTCATTTTATTTGTCTATTATGTTCATCTAATTTTCATCTGGTTAAAAAAAAAAAAAGAAAAATTGTCCATTATGTTCCATTGTCTCTCCAAAAAGTTGGTGCAGTGAGGTAACAGGAAAGCCTCATCTTGAATGGGGGCTAGCATGTGGAGTGGAGAAGCTAACCTAAAATTAGGTATAACAGAATAGTTTCTTCTAACATCATAAATCAAGATTCAAATATTTATTAGAGGAGCAATTCACATTTAATACCAAACATACTCTCTCTATTAAAAAATATAAAATATTTTTAATTAATTTTTTTTTAATAAAATAATTACCTTTTTTAAATTAATTATATTTTTTATATTTACTCTTATTAAAATATAAAGTTATTCATCAATAGGACACTTTTAAAAGAAAGATAATGATTACATCTCAAAAGGTTTAAAAATAAAATATTTAACTCTTCAAAAAATATCTTATATTTTTAAATGAATGGAGTGGGTGTAAAAGAATAGACCTAATAGCGATTTTATTGTCCATGCGTGGCAATTTTGTGAAATTGTAGTTTTTTTTTTGGTTAGTTTTTATAAATGAGCTAAGGTGCAAATCTATCCTTAACTCAAGTATGATATAATTTTACACATGAATTGTAAAAATAATGCAAAATTTCTCAATTCATAAAAAAAATTTAAGTAGATCGGGTGCATTATGTCATTTGTGATATATCCAATAAAATATGATATTTAAATATCATTAAATATAAATTAATTTTGATATTGATGATAGTAAAGAGAGAATATGTAAGAAATTAAATGTGCATTCTGTTATAATAATAAAATTAATTTAAAAATATCACACAAGATCTTATTAAATTATTTAAAATATTTTAATTAAATAGACCATAAATGACACTCAATTTATCTAAATATTTTTCCAATCCATAACAATCTAGACATTTGTTCAGTAAGGTTATGGTCCCATTTACCATGCTGCACTACCCATCATGTAATAAATTATCGTACAATTTTGCTCGTGAAATTTGAAAAACAGTGCAGAAATCCCATTCTAAAATAGAAAGACTTATGTTAACAAACATTGACTATAAAAATCAAAATAATTAAAATTTTATTTAACCTGAAATATAAATAAAAAAATTCACGTTTTTTAAATTTTTCTTAGCTAGCAGCACAACATTTTATTTTGTTTTGTCACAGTAAAATTTTTATCTTTTTATTATTTTAATTTTTTTTCATGCTTGTCAGATTTCGATGTAGTGGGGAAAAAATGTCAACCGACTTGAATTTCCCTCCAACTACCAATTGGATCCAGTTGCTTAGCGAAGAAGAAGATGAAATGTAGTTTTGTTTCACGTCATGTTGGCTAGTGAAGCACTCAATTTTGCCGTTTGCTAAGCGTCGTTTTCAATTTTCAGTTTGAATTTGAACTAAACGCCATGTGCCAGCACTTCGTCTGTGAATCGTGGCGCCCTCCAACACTCCTAATCTTTTACTCTCTTAATTATTACTACTTCACTTATTTAATCTTCTCTTTATTTATATCCTGTAAAATTGAGTTTGCGTTATTTTTTAATCTCTTTCGTTGTGAAATGACTTTGCGAATTTGATATTTTAAAAGATTCTTATTTAAATAAATCCTTGTTTCCTTTTCTCGCTGCCAAAAAAGCGGTTTTTTTTTTAGTAATTTTTTAAACTTGAGAATGTTGACTGCAATGATGATTGGATAATTGGATGTCCCGTTTGTATTACATATAAATGTAATCCTTCCACTTCAGTTCGCTTTCATTGTTGTTTTGCAACAATTCTAGCTCAGCCTTCCATTCCAAGCAATGGCGTCCGATCTTGATCAACCTACGGTATGGTTATCTCTCTCTTAAAGCCTCCGATTTATCTGCTTTCGCTGTAGTATGCAGACGCTTGAGAGAATCACTGCCTTTGGTTTCTGATTAAGTTATGGAAAACAGAAGAATACCAAACAATTACTAGGTTCATTGAAAAGCAATTTCTTTTTCTCTTCAAGAATTTCGGCATTTTTGTTCTCAAGTTGATGCTCAACTTGAGTAATTGGTATGTTGTTCCCCCTCTTCCCATGATTCTGTTTGTTTATTGCGTTGGAAATTAAACGTGCAAATGGTTCGCGACCTCTGTTCTTCCTGACCCACTTCGTTTTGGGTTTCTTTGGGTAGTATCATATGTGAGTTCTTTGTTGGCTCCCTGCATCTCGAGGGAGTTTTTGTGCTGGCACTAATAAGAGAATTGAATTTACTAATGCTAAGCTCATTTTTTTGTGTATATGCGATGAAAAATACGAGAAAAGAGGTAGAAGAAAAATATCTTGAACTCAAACAATTAGGAAATGATTTCTACGATAAAATATCATCTAGGGAGTCTAATCTTCTAAACCGACTATTCCTTTTTTAGGCACTGTTAATCTTACTAAGACTCACATGCAAATGCTTGAGTACTACCTTGGGATAACATATTCTCAGGCTCAAACACCAATCCCTGATTACTGATAATTAAACTGTTTTTTTGATCGAACTGATAATTAAACGTTAAACCTTAAACTACTCCAATTACTAACCCTAAATGCCAAATGATAATTATATCATAAATCAAGATAAGAAATAATATTTTCTTCCTCTCATTGTGCACTGATATGACTGAGTGTGCTAAATGAAGGAAAAAAGCTGAATGCCTGCAATCAGATGCATGGTCATGCACATAGTCATGCTTATATGCTTACAAGCTATTTTCCTATAAACCATACTAATCTATTTATTTCACTACTCATAACATTTGAAATTCACTGACTTTCAACAGAAAAGAAAGACATCCGGTGAGACTGGGAGTTCAAGAGAGCCTCTTCTTAATGGTGTTCATGGTTCTGAAAATTATTCCATCTATGCTGCAATTCTCCCGTAAGTGTTATTTATTAGATTACCCCCTTCTGTGCAAGTTTATATTATTATATGATATGGATAAGCATATTCGGAGTTTTACTTATTCTTAGAAGTGCCATTCTGCATGTTGTTTTTGAGGAACTTCCTTGCCTGATATGCAGAGAGGTTAGATTTTGCACTTTCGAACCCCATAGGCCCAATGTTTATGTTTAGGGTTCAGGAATGTATGTTATCCTCCTTATTTGTGTTTATCTTCTTTTTCTACCTAATAATATATTATTATCCAATAAAAAATTGTATAGGATTAGATGGGCTGAAATTTTTTCTTTCCTCATGCCAAAAAAAGTCTGCCTTTTTATGCTTTTAGTGTTTCCAAGGTTGAAAATGTTTTAACTACTAAGATTTGAGAATGGCTGGAGCTCATTGCACTGTCATAATTTTTTTTTTTGGGGGGGGGACTTGGTAATTTATCTTATCCTGCATAATTTTTGCTTCTTATGTCTGAAGAGATGCTTGATTCTCACTTCTCAGAATCCTATGCGTCCTCTTCTGAACAATTTCAGCCATATATTTAGATAATGAAGTTTAACATGTTTAGTTTGGTACTTAGGATTTCTGTGAAATTGTAATATTTTGTTATCTTTCCTCCAAGCAACTGTTATAGATAAGACGGAGGCGATGATAAGAATTGTGTTCCCAAGATAGTGTTTTGAGGGATTATTAAATGGTGCCTTGAGCTTGTACACTGTCACTACTTAATACTTTTTTTTTCGGGGGGGCTAAACTCAAGTCACTGTTTAATATATAAATGCTCAATTTAGCATGCATTCATGCTACTGGGTTGACTAAATTCATGAAATAGATGTCATGTTGATATAGTGCTCATATCGAGTTTCTGATAGTGGAAGCTTGATTTCTACAGTTATACCTAACAGAGTTTTGAAATTCTCAGATTTCTCTTTCCAGCTCTGGGAGGGCTACTATATGGCTATGACATTGGTGCCACATCTTGTGCTACAATTGTCATTGAGGTACGCCCTTATGATCACATGCTACAATTCAAGAGATGAATGAAGGCTTGAATGAATAGATCCTGTATATCTTTAATACTCTTGTTTCTTCTTTTTAATTTCCATGTTATTATCAAATTATCATCATAAATCAAAATAATTAGCATTGAAATCAAATTTTAGAATCTTTATTTGGTTGCTTTGGCTTCACATGAACTTCATTTAGGTATGTGGGGAAAAGATGATCCATATACACGAGGGGTTTTATTTTTACATATTCACAATGCTGTCAAAAATTAAAAAAATAAGAAAGACGCTAAAAAGGATATTAAGCATTTTTTAGTCCAATAATTTCATTCCTCTGTCATCTTCATCATTGCTAGACAGACATAAAATGTTTTATAATATTTTCATTTAGTTCTACTTTAATCCTTTTGAGGTGGTATGCTGGCATGTGATAACACATTTATTCATGCGGAGCACCTATTTTCTTCATTGATCTGTAGTTCCAAAGGCTTAAACTGTCAGTAAACAGGACAACTATAGAGATCACGCTTTCTTTATCTGTTTGAAAGTCCAAGTATGCTTGGTACATTATGTTTCTAAGCATTAATTCTCTCATTCATTAAGCAGGAAGGCTAAAGATAGTCTGTCATGGAAAAATCTTCTGAAAAACAATGGCGTAGATCTTTAGAAGATTTGCGATTACTGTTGTTACCCAAGGGTGAGACAGATTGACAGAATAAGTTGCTTGGAAAATTTTAGTCTTAGGGGTCCCTCCCCCCGGCAAAAAAAAAAAAAAAAAGGAATGAAGCCTCTTTGAAATCTATTTGCTTTTTGTAATAACAATTCAGTCCTTTGTGTATGATAGAAACTTGTTTAATATATGTTGCTGTCTTGTAATTTATCATAAACAAAATTAGGATGTTTAATATGTAGAAATACTGCATCTTATTAACTCTATTTTTTTTCAGTTGAACTTACTGTTGCACTTGAAATTTTCTTGGGAAGCTGATTAATGCAGCTGCTGTATATTTCAGTTCTTTGCTTGGCTTACTTATCATTTCTCTTTTTTGCAGTCTGCAACACTAAGTGGAGTATCATGGTATGATTTGTCTTCCGTTGAAATTGGCCTTGTGGTAAGTTTATGTTAGATTCAGAACATTTTCTGTCTTTGGTTATGGCAATTTCGTTAATTCTTTTCATCCTTTATTATGTTCATATTTTTTTAATACAATGATCAGGAAAATGCACTCTGGTTTCGTTATAAATCATTCTATGGTGTTTTTGCAGACTAGTGGATCATTGTATGGTGCGCTCATTGGCTCTGTGTTGGCCTTCAATGTTGCTGACTTCTTAGGTAAATTTTGTCATGTGTCAACTATTGTTTTGGATATTTTCATGTCTTGACAAAGGTTAAATGACTGGTGTTATTTAAGGAAGAAGAAGGGAGTTGATTGTGGCTGCATCACTGTATTTTGTTGGAGCTCTTGTAGAAGCATTTGCTCCTGATTTTGCTGTTTTGGTGATTGGAAGATTTGTATTTGGTCTAGGAATTGGACTGGTATGCTTTTTTAACAGATATGATATATGTTACCTCATATCTGTTTGTTTGTTTTGATAAGGTAGGAAACCTTTTAACAAATCTGGAGGTGAGAGTTTCTGTGTACCTCTTACATGCTGGATAGGGTTCAAGCTTTGCAGTTATTTTTTTTGCCCATGTATTGATGTACATGCATTGCCACCCTTTCCTATGTAATTCTATCAAAACAAATTATGCCACTGCATGTGCTTTACTGACTTATGCATGTTGGAGCTATCACATAATATAATGTCTCTCAGACTATGTGTAATTGTATCATCTCTTCAGTTTTTTTGTTCTACCGATACCTCTTATAGTTAACCACATTCTTAAAAGATTGGTAAATGATAGAGTACAATGGCGTCATACAATTCACATAACCGACCCCAATTAGTCGGATGAGGTTTGTTATTGTTGTTATTTGTATTTCCTTATTTTAAAACAAAAATAAATTCTATGGATGTCAGAAGTATTAACATTGCTGTAGACATGCACAAAAAGAACAAGATGGAAGAATGATTTCACTGCATTATAAAGGAATTGTTAGAGAATTTTTGTGGATAAAATCTAATCAATACAGTTTTATAGTTTCTCCCTGAAGTGTAAGCAATATAAATGATGTCCAGTTTGTCTCTTTTAGGCTATGCATGCTGCTCCTATGTACATTGCAGAGACTGCTCCAGCTCCAATTCGTGGTCGATTAATCTCACTGAAAGAGTTTTTCATAGTACTTGGGATGGTTGTAAGTTCTTATATATTCCCTCTTGAATTCAATTTTGTTGGATCTATAAATGAAATGAAGACAACAAGCTTCTTAAAATTTGCCTTACATTGTTGTAGCGTTGTATTATGGATTCTGAGTAAAAAATATATTTCATGTTATTTTCTGTTCTGAGCACACCTGCATTTAGAACTGGCTTCATATCATCTTGTGCAGGCAGGGTATGGAGTAGGTAGCCTTTTGGTAGACACTGTTGCGGGGTGGCGCTATATGTATGGAGTTAGTAGTCCTTTGGCAATAATCATGGGAATTGGAATGTGGTGGCTCCCATCATCTCCTAGATGGATACTCTTGCGCTGTATACAGGGAAAAGGGAATGCCCAGAGTTTGAAAGATTCTGCAGTTTCTTGTTTGTATCGACTTCGGGGTCCAGCTATTGGTGATTCAGCTCTTCAGCAAGTGGATGAGATTCTAGAAGAACTTTCTTATGCGGGTGAAGAAAAAGAAGTTACTATTGCAGAGATGTTCAGGGGAAAATACTTGAAAGCCCTTACAATTGGTGTAGGATTGGTCTTGTTTCAACAGGTATTGCAGTTTGTAAAGTCAAATAATGCAAATTATCAGAGCTACCACTAGGTTTGCATTTTTACATTTTAAATCGTGACAGATCACTGGGCAACCAAGCGTGCTCTACTATGCAGCAACAATCCTCAAGGTAATTTGCTAATTTTGATTGAGGAAACTTTGGTCTAAGTAGTAAAAACCGAGGTGCTAATGAAATGTAATAACACTGAAATCCTATATTTTGGTAGAGTGCGGGATTCTCTGCGGCATCAGATGCAACTCGTGTATCAATTCTCCTTGGTGTATTGAAGGTAAAGTTTATGCTTTCATAATATGTAAATTTAATTAAATGCTATTACCTTATTTCACATTTATTAGTACTTTGCGGATGCAGATAAAAGTTCTACTAAATTCTAATTTGAATTGTTTGACTATGTAGAAACTATAGAAAGAGAAGGAAAACGTAATGGAACATTGAAGGGTGTGAGTCAATTTGCTGAGATATATCAATTTAAACAGGCATTCTGGAACATAGTTAATGGCATCTACAAGCATAGAATGAATGAGATGAGATAGGCCAATGCCTTTAGCATTTTTGTGGGTGATCCATTAGATAAGTAATGGTGGCAAGGAAGTGAACAATACTATTTAGATTAGTGAAAAGATACTTGTTACTAGAAATATGGTAAGATGCTTTTGAGTCAAGAACTCGTGGACCTTGTGGAGAGGAGGACCTCAAATAGCCTGAAGTGAGGTTCACTAGCGACTACTTTAATGAAGGTATTAGTAATAACAGAGAAGATGCCATTATTAAACCAGTAGGGGCATGCTAACGTTGGATGGGAAGTAGGCAGTTAGCTATAGAAATTGGGCTTGGCAACTGAACCTGGAAAATTGTGTTGTCTCTGGAAAAAGCTTGAAAACTGCCAATCATAACTGTGTTCTATAGAAAGGGCAGGAAGCTTACCTCAGAAACATTAAATTTAACTGAAAATTTCCCAAAAGCTAATTGAAAATGATAGTGCAGAATCAAAACAATGTAATTAGTGCATTTTTTCCCTTTTTTATTTCATGTTGCTTTTCTCTTAGTATCCATTTTAAGTTTCTTAACTTATAGAGCTCTTGTTTTAAATTATGTGAGGGTGTTCCAATGTATCTAGGCAAAAGTATAAGATTTTTTAGACCAATATGAAAGCTTAAGTTAAATTCACAATCTATCAACGCAACATATCAGTCACATTCTCCTCAAGAGAAAGAAAAGTAAAAGAATGATCCAAAAATGTCTTCACATTGTTTGTTGATTCACTACGAACGCTCTAAAAACATTTTTCCTTTTTCTATTATTTTTCCTCTTACTAAGTCCATGAGAATACTTTCCTATCATGTTCACAAATTCTTTTTGACAGCGACTTCATCTTTCTATGTTGTAGTTGATCATGACAGGAGTTGCTGTTTTTGTTGTTGATAGAATCGGAAGGAGACCTCTACTATTTGTAGGAGTTTCAGGGATGGTAAGTTAATACCCATCTCTAAATGTTGGTTGGTTTTAGTGGCAATTTACTCAGAGCCTATTTTTTAATTTTTATATCAAATCAATAGACCAATTCACTTATCAGCCATTTTTGCATGATTGGCATCAAAATTAACTTACATAAAAAATAAAAAACAGGAATTTTAGCATCAATCTTTAAATTTGATGAACTATATGCATTGCAGATTGTCTCTTTATTCCTTCTGGGTTCGTATTACACGTTCTTGGATGACGCATCAGCTGTTGCTGTAGTTGGTCTGCTGTTGTACGTGGGCTGTTATCAGGTTAAATAGTTTCCTTCTGATTTTTTGTATGATTTTTCAGTCCAGGATTTTTTGCTTGTAGATATTTTGGCTTTATTTTCAACGAGTTCAATGTTTGTTGTCATAATCAAGGAGGAGATATGGATTGCATAACCCAAGATTTATGAATACTTGTTGAAATCAATGACCTGAAAAGACTGGTAAAGATGCTGTTTTTGGTAGTTCCTGGGTCGCCTGAGGTATGGGATAATTTTCCTTGTATAAACAACACCTTGACGCTGAACAGTCCTTGTAATAAGAGCTGCCTGAAGTGACCATAAGAGGGGATATAAAGAGGAAAATATTTAGTTTTTGTGTCTCTGGTTTTTATGTATTCAAAGATTTAGAGATATAAGTTGTTTAATAAAATATAAACAGTTGAATCCTTGGGATGCTAGTTCATGATTTATGGATGAGACCTAGTTTAATATAAAATGTCCAATGATGTAGTTACGGTGAGACAAAAAGTGAACCTTATGGTGTACCTTCACGAATATTGTCCATTTTAAAAAAATAAAGGAAATGATGATGGTGTGCACTTATTTCGCATGCCAATGGGTCACAATTCTCCTAGAAAGTGATGCAGAATTATGGAAGAAAGATAAATCACTATCAAAGAAAGGAACTTTAGAAGAGAAATTTAGCAAGCATTGATAGACTGTACCTGTATTCAATTGGGTTGACCTGTTGTACCAGTTCGGTAGTCAGCCTATTAAAAGCAATCCCTAAGTTATTAAGTTTGTAAGTGGATGCATGTGTGTGTGTGGACTGCACAGAGTTGTGTATGCATGTGTGTGAACACCATGGAGAAGCTAAAACAAAATCCCTACCAGTGGTCATATTTCATCCTTATATTGCTGCAGACATTTTTTGTGTGTGTGAACATGCTAGAGTAGTCTGGAACATAATTCTTACCTGTAAGGCATCCCAAACCAGGGGAAAATTTCAGAGAATACAAGCAGAAAATATGCACATTTTGTGGCCGTGTTTTCTCCTTTGATTGCTGCAGACATGACTTGGTAGTCTATTTCTCAAACTTGTATGTTGTTCTTGATAGATTGGAGCCCAATGCTCAAGATATTATGAGTGATATAGGTCCCATTCATGAATGGATTTTGTGTTTAACTTTTGGGTTAGTGGTAGGCTTGCTTTACCTGCTGCCACTTTGCTGGGGTAGATAGCACGAGGCTTTCCGGCAGGGAGTATTAGGGTTCTGGACATGTGAAGTTGAGATGACATTGTTCTAGAGGAAGAGAGTTAGCCTCCGATTTATTTTTTTGGTATCGGGAGCCACAAGGACTCGAGATATTCTAATGATCTCTTTTGGCTTCGTGATGGTGCTGAATGCCAAGGAATGGTGTTCCTCATCTGAGGGCCGCAGCCCTGTCGTTGACTCTGTTCCTAGAACTTTCACGCCATGATTACTGGACATCTAGAACAATTATCTTTGATGGTCCTCAAGTATTCTTATTACTGAAGACAATCTTGTTATGTTTTGGTTGATCAACTGAATGACGACCTAAACTAGCATAAACTTTATACCAGGCAGGTCCATAAAAGAAATCATGCAAGTTGTCGAGAAAACATAATCTTATATGGACAACACTGCTACCCTATTTGAGATTTTATGTCAACTTCATGAATTCAGGCAAGGGGATTTGGTTTTCACACAATGCTGCAACACTTTTATTTGGTTTTGGAACTCGATAACAAATGGGCCGTCAGGTGTGATGTGTGTGAGTGAGAGAGAGGCATTGGGGAATATATTGTAGGGGATGTGGGGTTAGTGTAAGGTAGGAAATCAGCGGGTTTGTGTGTGGAGTCTTTGGTCTCTCGAATACCTGAGGAAAGTGCTATGTTTGAGCTTGTTCTTGTGTTTTCTGGTTATTTAGTATTTTGAATACCATTGGAGCTTGGTTTCCATCAGTTTTTGGTATCAAAGTAGTCCAATCTTTTTTCTTTTTTTTTTTTTGGGGTGGGGGGAATGGGAAACTCTCAAGAAGAATTGGAAAAAAAAATTGCATGATGGAGAATGAAGAAGTTGAGGAAGTGTGCAAGACATGTGGAAAATGTGATGGCAACACTGCAGGATATGAAAAGTCTATATATCAGATGACATAAACCAAACAGAGGATCAGGAGAAGGATGGAAGGAAACCAATAACAGAGTGGTTCTCTGTCGAAGGCTTGACAGTGAAGTATTCAAAGGAGGAGCATCAATCTCAGCCACTTTTCTGTGTCTTTTCTGTTTTCTGTTTCTGGTCATATCACACTGATATAAGAAAATCCTTTTGTCTTGCTTGCATAAGATTGCTTAATGTGATTCTTTGTTCATTTTTTGCAGGTTTCCTTTGGTCCAATTGGATGGCTCATGATATCAGAGGTTTTCCCCTTGCGACTAAGAGGACGAGGACTAAGTTTAGCAGTACTTGTCAATTTTGGTGCAAATGCCTTGGTGACATTTTCTTTCTCCCCACTGAAGGTGATGATGATCTTCAATCTCTTTACTTTTCTAAACGCGATTATGGAGATCGTATAGTCCGCAGACCTGTTTTCTAGATGCGTCGTGATGAGTCAGATGACAGATTATTCTCTCACATGCTAATCTTGACATCTAACACTCATCATGTAACCAAGGGGATTAAGGAAAGAGAAAGACCGATTTAATCCAAAACATCAAGCTCGTGTCAATCTTAAAGATGTGGCCAGTACCATATATGCTATTGGCATATTTTCTCTAGACAAAAATATTTAAACTTACTATTGAACTGACCTAATAACTATCAAGCATAGAAACTTCAAAAACATTGTGTCAAGTCAAACTAATTATCTAATACGTGACATTTCAAATTACATTTAAACTTTGTCATTTTACCGTGTCCATATTGTGTCAAGTCCATATTCTAATACAGCATGACAGATTTGATATAATAGATAAGTTGAGATGGTTTTTATCTGACTGTCTTTTTTCTTATCACAGGCATTGGTTGGAGCAGGAATTTTGTTCTACATATTTTGTGGAATAGCCGTGGCATCACTTGTATTCATTTTCTTTGTGGTGCCTGAAACCAAGGGGCTTACTCTGGAGGAGATTGAGGCCAAATGCCTCTAAGGTTTGTCACTTAATGACTTCTTATGAATATAGATCTTCTACAATAACTGAGAGAAGATAGAGACTAGAGAGAGTAGTGGGACACATGTCATGTGGGTTGCATTACTCTCTATCTCTCTTAATTGGCTCCTCCATTAATGTGAAGGATATCCATGCTTTATATGCTGATAGCTTTGTGATTATGGTACTGTTAATCCTATCATGATTGAAAGCATATCTCTGTGGGTACTGAGTGATGAGTAGTAGTAATATGTATCATTTCAGAAACGTAGTAGATAATGTATTTATTAAGTTGGATTAGTCCTTATTGTCTGTTATGCATGGAGTGGACCACCTAAATTAATAGACATTATTGTTCTTGTCGTTGATTGTTCTGCACTTCCTCGATCCAATCTTGTCAATGTTTTGAAGCAGCTTAGTGATACTCCTTTTGTCCAGGGCACTTGGTTCAACTGGTCAAGAAAGTAGAATCAGTTTATCCTGAGATTTTGGTATTGAGTCCTGAAATATGCAGCTGCATTAAATAAAAATGTCAAAAATATTTTCAAGATGCTCGTGAGGTTGCTGTTAGTAATAACAGTCTCACAGGATAGGGGTCTAAATTAGTCTAGGCGAGTGGTGGTTTTCTACGACACCAGTCAATAGAATTAAAAAAAAAAAAAAGTAATACTCTCTATTGTCTTATTTATAAAGCCCCATCTATTGGTCCTTACTACAAGACTCTTTACAAAATTTAATGAAATATTTATAAGTAATTTCCAAAAATGCTTGTCTCATCCCTGTCATACCAACTTTATACTTTAATAGGGCCTTGCAGGAGGGAGTATTAAACATTGTTAACCTCTCGACAAGTGAGGTGATTGTGAGAATGCTTGTGGATTAATTTGGATTTGATGTTATCTTATTGTTATATTTTAATAGTTTGTTTATTTAGGAAAATTAATTCATAAGTCCTTATAGTTTGTTTCTATTTTGAATCAAGTCTCTATAATTTACTATTTTCTTTAAATTAGGCCCTTATACTTTGATTTGTTAGAGGCATCCTCCAAATTATAGTGTTATTAGTCACATCATCTCACTTTAAAGGTGTCAAAATGAATTTTAACTACGAAGGTGGATGCTTTTAACATATTGAAATATAAGGGACCCATTTTTTTTTAAATAAACTATAAGGATTTACGAATTAATTATCCCTTTTTATTTTATTAAATGCATAATTTAAATTTAAAATAAAGATAATTTTTTATTTGTCATTCTATAAATAATATAGAAAGAGAATTTATTATCTAAAAACGTTCAAGTTGAAAAATCTAAAGCAGATAGATTTTACCACAAGTCGACAATGATAAGCGTAGCACCCAAATTGGAAATTCTGATTGAATTAGGCTTCTAATTCAGTGTCTTATGGCAACACAATTTTTAAATTTTTTTTAAAAAATAATATATACCATAACAAAATAATATGAATAAAAATGTGAGGCTTATGGCTTGTTTGGTTTTTGTTCTTTTTGTTTTTAAAAATTATTTTGCAATACATTTTTTAAAATTATTTTAAAAAAACAAAAAGAAAATTTATTTAGTTGTTTAGAATTAAAAAATCAGTTGATAGTGATGGTTACCAATAATTAATGATAGTGGTTTATGATAATTATTGGTTAAGGTAATTGTAGTTTTTATAATCAAATGTAATATAGTTTTTTTTTTGGTCAAACAAATGTAATGTAGTTTGAAAACAAACAAAAAAAAAATGAAAATAACAATAAGACGTTTCTATTTAAAAAAAATTGAGAACATTTTTAAAACAATTGGATTCACAGCACTCATGCAAATAATTTTTTAAATTTTTTCATTTTTAAAAATAAAAAACAGTTTTTGAAAACAAAAATCCAACATGTCTTTAATCTTTTTTGACACACATGTATTCTTTATTAAAGACAATCATATTGGATGTATATTTGATCTTAATGAAAACATTTAAAATGCAGTATTACATTATTGATAATTGAAAAAAATTGGAAGGACTAAAAGTTGTATTTTTCAAAAACAAAAATCAAACATGTCTTTAATCTTTTTTGACACACATGTATTATTCTATTAAAGATAATTATATTGGATGTATATTTGATCTGAATGAAAACATTTAAAATGCAGTATGACATTATTGATAATTGAAAAAAATTAGAAGGACTAAAAATTGCATTTTTCCTATAATGTTCTAATAAAATATTAAGACGTATTAAAAATATCCAAAATCGAATGATAGAGTTCTCTTTCAATCCAGATCATTTGCATTTACGAAGAGAAAGAGAAATGTAGGGAAGTATGGTAGATGAATATAATTATGAGATGTCAATATCAAATATTTACATATGACCCCCCCCCCAAATGTGAACTTTTTTCTCATCAACCTAACAGCATTAACTGTATTACTATGAGTCTCCAAAAAGTAAATCCTACTTTTTTTTTTTCCTCAACACTTCACTTGAAGTTATTTTAAAATTAAAAAAATTAATTTTTTAATCCTTCAATTTTTAACTCATTTATAACTTACCCTCTCAACTATAATTCACTACAACTCAATCCCTCAATTATGACTCGCTGCAACTCAATTCCTTAACTTTTGATTCACTTGTAATTCGATCTTTATTTTTTAATTTTTTTTAAATTTTTTATCAAATAAGAGGGATAAAAAAATGCTCATATATTATTCTAAAATACCCTTCTCTTACTCATTGATGTGAGATATAAGCTAACATGAAAAAAAAAATAACAAAAGTTTAGGGACTAATTTGTAAGTGATTTAAAAGTTAAGGAATTGAATTATAGGCGAGTCATAATTGAGGGATTGAGTTATAAGTGAATTAAAAGTTATAAAACTAAAAGATCATTTTTTTAAATTAATTTTTTACATAAAATCAACTCACGAATGCGCTTACAAGATTTTAAAAAAAAAAAACGGTAGAGAAAAATTTTAAAAAGACTTGTCCTAAGAACTCTTCAATATTTGGGTGTGTGTGTGTGTGAGTGTGAGAGAGAGAGTGTTGAAGAACTTTAAAAAGTTACCTTAAAACGTGAAAAACTAGAACTGGAAACAGGAAGTAATGATTTCCTCCATAGGAAGATTCTAAGAAAGACCTTAGAGATAAGATTTGGGTTAAAGTTAATTCCACCAAAGTTAATGAATAAGAAATTTCCTCTTGCTCATAATTTTTCTGTGATTTGCATATAATATGGCAATAACAATGAACAATCCAACGTTAATCTCAGTGCATTATTGGAGAAAACGCACACAAAAGACAGTTGAATCTGATACATATTTTCAATTTGTTATGTTATTCTCCGTCAGAATTTTACAATTAAAATGAACTCTACACATTATGCAAATTTCAAGACCTTCATTTCCCTATTATTGATTTAGTAAACAGCAAGTGGAGCAGCTACAAATGTGTCTTTAAGTTACTTAAAGATTACAGATTGCAAATTATCCACAAGTATCCCAGTTTAAAAATTTATATCAACATGTTTGGATATTAGTTTAAGAAACGGTGCACGGAAAATGTTTTCCGGTCGAAGCACTGGCGAGACAAAAAATGTATAGTAAGGTTATGAATCATGCATGAGCCTAATTTTTTTTTTTTATGACTATCTAATTAGATTAGATTTAAGCAATGTTAGGTTCAACCAAGAAATAGTTTTTTCAAAAATATTTTCTACATTTATACAAACTCAAACTCAAGACCTCATGGTTGAACAGTCATAACTTTTTCTACTAGAACTAATGTTGATCCAAGCCAGCCCAACATTAGAAAAATTAGGAGTTAGAACATGAGAGGATAAACCAAGTTTTCTAAACTTCAGTTTCAAACTTCTAACTAAAATTCACCAAGTCCTTGCGTTTATTTTGAATGAATTCTTTTAGGTGAGGATGGTGCATGTAAATGATGAGTCATGAATTACAAGTAAAATATGAGGAAGAGGATGCTTCAGTCACTAGTTTAGTAACCTATACTCTACATTTATGGGACCCTTCAACAGAAATCAAGTCTAAGGAAAAAGTGCAGATTTGAATCTTGTGCCAAAATGGATTAAAATCTCGTAAACCCTCAAAGTAATTTAGAGGTAAAGTGAAGAAAAGATGGATTTAATGAGGAAAACCCTTCTTTTTTTCACATACGCTGATCTTACAAAATTGAGATTCACTTCACTTTCTCTGTTTCTTCTCTACTTCACTCCTGAATTATTTTTCAATATCATTATCTCTCTAAGTTAAAAGCTTACAAAGTACTTCTAGGATAAAACAGAAAAAGAAATGGATTTCAGAAAAACAAAGAAAGAAAAATTAAAAAAAAGCTCATAAATATTTTCATTCCTTATATATCACTATCTCTTCACCTTCAACTTTAATTTTAGGGGGTTCAAATAAGATAACTTTCCATTTCACAACTTGAATTGTCACAATCACAGAACACCAGAAACAGCAATTTCATTCATAGTCTTTTTTTGTCACAATCTTAGCCAACTGTATCAGAGACTCAAAAGGGGCTGGCTCTTCCTACTTCTCTTACACCTCTATGTTGTTCTAAAAAGAAAGGGAATTTGATTTGCAGTATGAAAGAGACAGCCAACAAAGCCATTAAATTTGGTCCATAGGTCTGAGAAGGACAAGCACTACTGGCAAGAAAGCAATCAACACTTTCATGGAAAAAAGTAAAAGAAACAAAAATTTCTGCAGATAGTGTGAAGGAAAGTAACAGCAGGTCCGAGCAAGGGTGTACTTTACCCTCCCAGAAAATAGTACTAAGTTGACAGTCACAGTATGGCAATGAATACTAGTTTGGCATTTCACTCCATAATAGAGTCAGGTTTCTAATTTTCATTTTACATAAATTGTTTAGGTTTTTAACTATAAGCCCTAAAAAAATTAACAAACATCAAATATGGAACACTCAAGCCACAACTACTTGGTCTGCAAGGCAGCATGCAACTGGCCAGAAAGTAATCCACACTTTCACGAAGAAGGATCCAAGTCTCTGCAAACTGTGTGAAGGGAAAATCAATGCTAGGACCGAGCAAATACTTTTCCCCCTTCCACACAGAATAGTACAAGTGAGTCACAGTCTCACTGAAAGGTAAAAAACTTGTCCTGCAGTTTACTCTGTAACATCTGACCAAGGATTCTGCATCACCAAACCATTTGCATGGACACGGCACAATATAGGTCATCAAATAAAATCAAAGGGGCAAATAGTTCAAAGGTATTGATTAGGTGCTAAACTTCAAACAAAAAAAAGTGACACTCTTTGTTGAGTACGAATTCAATTGAGCGAGAAGAAATCGAACCCATTGATCAGAGTAAAGCGAAAGAACC